AATAAATAAATAAATAAATGGAGAAATCAAAAGCTTTCAAATCAGGGAAGAAGAGAAACACAAGTCAACGAAACAAAGCAGTATCAACATAAGATATATACAAAGAGAGGGGAGACGTTTATATGCCTTTGGTTACAAATCCCTCCATCTCTGTGTAGCCGAGCTGTAGGATTCGGGAGTTGCAGTATAAAAAACATAGAGGAAGTGGGGAAAAAGGAAAAAAAAAGATACCCCGCATTTTGTCATTATCTTGATTGCCCTTTAACTGACTGGCATTTCATTGGGTTGGGAAGAAGAAGGTATTCGATTATTGAAAACCTCCTCCAGTCCCCAAGCTCCCATGGCTTCCGGACAAGGAAAGGGATTACATGGGAGTTGCGGGACAAATACCACCCTCTGATGATGATAACATCAGCGATCTGAGGCATAATCGCACAAACAGGGGTTCAGCCATTATTTCCAAGCTCTGCTCTCCCGTCAAATTCATATTGGACCTAGAGATGGGCACGAACCGCCGATTTGTGTCGGTTTGTTTTTCAGCCGAATGGGTGTTTGGCAGGTCCCAGCCCCACCTCCTTTGGCAGGTGCCCACTCAAAAGCAGGGCCTCGAGGAGGCAGGGCAGAGAAGCGAGGGTCTTGCCTCTTGAGTGGGAGCCCACCAGATCAGGTAGTTGGCTGGGAAGCGCCGAAGACCTGTTCGACCGACAAACGAACTGACACGAACCGTCACACCGCTGGTTCGTGCCCATCTCTAACTGGGCCCATTCCCAGTGAGAAACAATATCCCAAGCCAGGACTCTTCGACCCCTGACATTTGGAATAAACTCCCAAGAGAATCCTCCCTCGCCCTCCATTTCTGATGGACATGCTCTCTTGTTTCAGCCAACTCTCCTATTTCGCCCTCTTCATGCTGGCTTTAAGCTGCCTTGCCTTTTGGACCGATTTGAAGAGTGCTTTTCGACTTTCTTGGTCTGTTGTTATTTGTTTTATTTTTATCGCTTTTACTAGATGTTAGGGAGGCAGGGAATAATATTCCATAACCCAAATAAAATCCAGACGTCCTTGGGGATGCCAGAAGCTGCTTTGGGTGACCTTGGAAGGCTTATTAAAGCAGACAATACTAAACTGCACGGCCACGTGCTTTGATTTCTTATATGAAGGCTTCAGACAGTTAATATCTGGCAGTGCCTACATCCAGATCAAAAGGGCCGGACTCAGGGCTTGCACTGGTTGGATCAGTGGGGCATATAAAGTACAGTGGTGCCTTGCTTAGTGATTACTCCGTTTGATGAAGAAATCGCTTAGCGATGCTGTTTTTGCGATCGCAAAGGCAATCGCTTTGCGATGTTTCCTATGGGGAAAATTTGCTTTGCGATGACTGCGGGGAAGCGATCATCGCAAAGCCCCCATTTTCGGCCAGCTGATCGGTGGTTCCAAAATGGCCACCCGCTGAGTTGCCTCACTTTAGAGGCACCAAAAATGGCCACCGCAATGAAGGATCTTCTCTTTAAGGTTAATTTTTAGCCCACAGGAACGCATTAAACAAGTTTTAATGCGTTTCTATGGGCTTTTTAAAATTGCTTAGCGATGTTATCGCTTAGCAGTGATTTTTGCTGCACGGATTAACATAGTTAAGCGAGGCACCACTGTATCTGCCACCCCAGGACTCCTCAGAGGAGGTGAGAAAATGGATTTTCTTATCCACCATATATTGTTTGGAAAGTACAGTCCCTTTTGGAATCTAAAGCATTTCGGAGTAGTTTGTTCCTGAATGGGTAACTAAGACTCATTAGATTTGCAAAAGACCTGCTGCCAAGGGAGGGAGAATCTGATGGAACTCAGATGTTATGGATCCATTCAGCCCTTGAATTTTGGGGGCTATCTCAGAGCGAGTGTGTGGCTAAGGGAACTATCACAGCAAACATTGGCAACCTTCATCATCTTCCATGACACCGCTGAGTGGAACTATCCCATTCTTCTAAAATCAAGACCGCACCTCCTATTCAGTCCCCTCTAGAGCTTCCGCTGAACCACCCAGGTCTCAGGGTCTACACAGTCTCCATGATGATGAAGGAGGGTGGGTGACGTGTTATGGGAGTCATGGATGAAATCGTGATGCGTGAAGAAGAAGGTGTGAAATCTACACACACAAAAACCTGCGAGTGTTCTGCCCTTCCTCTCGGTGGGCCCAGAAGACAGGGCTGGATGAAGATGGAAGCAGTTTCTCTCTCTTGAAACCCTGGTCAATGCGACCCCCCGAAAGAGCATGGGTTCCACTGACTTCAGTGTCAGAGGAAGAGAGCCGTTGATTCTGCAAAATACAGGCCTTCTAGGAATTGATGCTCTCCATCCCAATAGTGGTCCTTTCACCTGTACAGGTGTGGGCAACCTCCAGAGGCCCAGGAGCTAACACCCCCTACTATTCCTGGAGCATGGAGAGTCGATCCTGTGGCCCCTGCTCAAATATATATGCAGGTGTACCGCGGCTTATGAATCTAATGTATTCTCTGGGACGTCTCGTAATACAAAAAATTCGCAAACTGAAACGCGGTTTCCCATAGGAATGCATGCACGGGGGCGGCGCTAGAAACCTCCCAGGTGCAATGGAAACTTGCTTCATATTGAGGAAAATATTTGTAAACCAAGGCATTATTTTCAATGGCTTTTCATTCAAAAACCGAAAATTATGTTAACCGAGGCGTTCATAAACCGAGGTACCACTGTATATTTTCTTAGAAAAATTATTGGTGTTTTTTCACTGGGGGGGGGAGAGAAAAACTTCGTACCATCTAGTGGTCAAATATATATTTTTAGTTATTTCAGAATAGTGCTCATTTGCCATTTTTAATTTATCCTACATACTCTCCTCAAGATAACACTGATTTTGACCTAATACTAAGTATCTGTTACAAAATGATAGATGAAGGCCTAAAAGTCAGTGATGGGAAATGTATCCAACGTTCCTGTGAATTCCTTCATTCTGCTCTCTGAGGGACTGACTTCCATATAATACCAGCACTCAACAAGAAGGCAGCCAGCATCCCAAAGATAACGTATTTCATTCAACCACCATCATCATGTACCTAGAACCAAGCTTTAATCGTCAGCTCCTCCTGCTTAGCAACTTCCTTCGGCTCAAATTTCCCACCTCCCTGCCTGCAGAAAGTCAGGAAGTCAAGGCACCCACCACCGAAACCCCCCACCCCACCCCCAGGTAATGTCACACCTACCTAAAGGACGGGAGAATGCTGTCGTAGTAGCACCAGGTGGCCGTCAGGTAAGCCCGGCTGACGTCCGTAGAGTAGAGGCGCCACGCAGCCTGGACCAATCAGGAGGGAGAGAAACAGAGGGGGATTTTCTCTTGATAAGCTACCAAGTACATAAGGCGGGATAGAGCTATATCACTATAACAAAAAACACATAACGTTGAAGACGGAGACAATATGCAACAAGACCATGGCACATTATTCATGAATTCATGGCAAATTCAACCTTGTTACAAAAGTAAGCCCATCTTCGTGCAGAGGATGATGGGGTGTGTTGTCCAACACGTCTGGGGGACACCATTATAAGGAAGGCTGCTTTCCCTCAGCATCTGTTTTGGGCTTGATCTTTCTTCCTTCAAAGTATAAAAGCCAGTATCCTATAGACACTGTGGTTCCCAAGTTTGGGTCCCCAGGTGTTTTTGGACTACAACTCCCAAAAATCCTGGCCAGTATAGATGGGGGTGAGGGCTTCTGGGAGGTGGAGTCCAAGAACATCTGGGTAACCCAAGGGTGGAGAGCCTCTGTTATGGACCGTCTCCTCTTGAGGGCAGACTCGCTAAAGCAAACTGTTGAATGGTACGTCAACACTTACGTAAATCCCACTGAGTCGGGGGTCTCCTGCAGTGAGCCATCAGTGCAGGGGGCCAAATTCTCACACAAGAGTATGAAGGCAAGGGGACAGAAAGGGGACCAAGTATATGGGAGCCATCAGAGGAAGACACAACTTCCATTTGGGGCGATCACATGCCGTTAAGGCAACTGCAAACCAGCTCGACCCCGTTCCATGCCCAGTCTGAACCGTTTGGCTCCAGCAGCCGGGCATCGCTTTTCTGGAGCCAGGCAGGAGCGCATCCTGTATGGACAAAAGGACCACTCTAAGGGGCCGTGCTCCTGATGACATGACCCTTTCCAGCATAACGAAATGCAGTCTGATTGCCCTTAATTTGGAGATCTGGAGCATCGCTGGAGAACCAGAGAAGAACAACTACAATGGGCTTTTGGAGGACTGGGAGAAGTACATTGTCTTATGTTTCATGTGATTCTGTTCTAGGATCCCCTGAAATTTTGCATTGTTCCTCCCAGATCTATTATTGTTTCTGCCAGTGGGGGCGAAGGGTGGGGTGGGGGGTTATAGCTAATTTTTCATTGGGTGGAATAAATGCATGACAAGCAAGTTTATCCTCATTTTTCATCTGGTTAGAAAAGCACAGCCTCCTGAAGGCTGGCCTTATCAGGAGGACAGAGCCGGCCGAGGGGCCCAAAGCTGCATCTGACCGATAGCTTTGTTGTATCTCCGAAACAAGGGGATGAATCCCTTTTGTTCCCCTGCCTCTTTCAAATTGACAGCCTTTCAAGCAAGGAGAAGAACGAAGGAGCAGCATTTTGCCAGGGAACAGGAAACAAGTCAGGGGAAGATAGCAAGAGGGGCCGGGGTGCCTGTGTGGGTGTCCGGGTCCCTTTTGTGGCAAGAGTCCTCTGAACTAGAGAGATAACAGGGAGTCGCAAGGTGCACCTTCCTGACCACAATAGAACAGGACCATCTAGAGATGCCAGGTTGATAGGCCAGCGTCACCTGGATGTGAGGCTGGATGCTATAGAAAGCAAGGCAGAGAGAGGCCAAGCCAGGGAAGTTTCATAGGTACAGCTGGAGAGGGGATTGGGGCTAAAAAGGGAGGCTGGAGCTGTGAGCTAACCAGAGCATCCTTTTACGGAAGAAAAGGTCAGGGTTGTTGCCTAAAAACACGTGTGTGATTTTTTTCTTAGGGTGCAATCAGCCTGGGGGACAGCTCTCATTTTAGACTGCTTCTGGCGTGTTTTGGTGCAAACTGTTTCTCAGCAATCCCACAACGTAGGGGGAAATGCACTCCTTCCTCCCCCCTGATCCATGCTTGAGGTTGATCTTTTTGGTCTAAGCATAGAGATGGGGACGAATAAAAAAAATGGTGATTCGTTTTGATTCGTTATTCGTCAAGGTTAACGAATCAACAAATACGAATATATGAATATTCTTTGACGAATCAACGAATCGATCTGTTGATTCATCTGAACTTTAAATGGCTATAACACTGGCCCCCCGATGACATAGAGACACTAAATATGCAGGGAAGCTTCCTCAGATGCATTTATACAACTTCTGAAAGTTTAGTGAACCTTGGATCATAGACCCCTGAGTTATATAGTCACAAAGAGGACCCCCTCAGCAAAGCTCCCCCCCCAGGTACTTAGAGACTCCAGAATCACAACGGCGCTTCCTATGTCTTTCCCCAACATGCCTGCCAACTTTAGTGAAGATTGGATATTGGAACTCTGAGTTATTCACCCACAAATTGGGTCCCCCCAGGAGAGTTTACCATACAAAGGAAGGAAGGAAGGAAGGAAGGAAGGAAGG